GAGGAAGTTTTCCTTAAGTGTAGTGGAGAGGGACACTTCAAGCAAGATTATCCGATGAGAGCAACAACGCCAAATATACTGCTAAAACACTATGAGGGATATGATGATGAGGTGACTTGTTTCAAGTGTGGGAAGCATGGGCACTATGCCAACGAGTGTACATTCAGCAAAAAGGTGTGTTACGGATGTAACAAGGAAGGGCACTTCAAGCAAGACTGCCCAAAAAGAGAGGGGGCTACAAAGCCAAATGTATCGCCAAAGCCATAGGCAAAAGCATTTCAAATGATCCTTGACGAAGCAGATGACAATGCAAGGATTCAGGAGTGAAGGCTTGACATCCAAGGATCGAGTTATGGAGTAATCGTGTAGATAGTACCTCGCGATGTAGCCTGTTAGGGGCATAGTTTAGGGTGAACTTGAACACCTATGTAAACATTTCAAGGAATAATATAAAACCTTTGTTTTGATATTTGATGTGTTAAACTGTTATGTGATTTTCTTATATGGTGACTTGGAAAACTGCGAGACAATACTTGGGACAAGTATGAGTATGTGTGGATCGTAGTAGAGGCCTATACTACCGAAAGCACGGGACTCACACTTGGATCAGTGAAAGTCACAAGGTTACCAAGAAGCTAGTAATTGATTTCGTTTTATTCAAGTATGGCGTTACCATTGTTTTGGTAATGACTAAGAAAAATTGTTGTTATCCCGACCCTAGTGGTCATATCACATTAAGTCCGACTATGATGAGTAGGTTACATGGTTTAAAGAACCAAGTTTTATGTAGCGTCCGACTTAAACCAAACAACTGAAATCAAAGCAATCAATAGAAGTATCGCGCTCGTTGTTAAAGAAGTTGGTAGCTAGAAATGCTACATGTTAAAGTGTGATTATATCACATTAGAACATGAAGGAAGGCATGGTCTGTTTTAGAATTTGACACTAAGAGACCTGAGTATAAATGTACATCACATGATGATAGGTCATAATTTGGAGTCTAACCTGAGGTAGAGAGCAAGTGCACGATCGAGTACTGCTTACAGTCAATAAGTCTAAGAGATAGATTTGAAGGAATATAGAAGTTATAATTATTACCTAGGATGAAGAGATGACTTATGGAGTCATTATACGAACCATGTTTTGTTGATGATTCCAGGACGTAATCATCCTAAGGGGGAGATAATTGTAACGCCCGCAGATCCGAGATAGTCAATTTAGAGGCAATAGGGGTCGAAAATGACTTTTCGACAAAAGATTATTCAGAATAAATAATCTCAACCAAGTTGTAGTATATTTTACAAGGTTTCCGTACATATAAAGAGCGTCAAAATCCGAGTTATAACGAAGAAGTTATGACCCGTCGAAGTTTCGCGACGGGACCTGCACGATACCGGGAGGCATAAATAGTGAATTTACGATAGAACGAGATTTAGCCTTAGCGATCTAAACGAAAGTCTTAGAATATGTTAAACCGAGAATGTCCATAAAAACAACACCCAAATCTAACTTCGTATGAGGAAGTTACGATTTTTCGAAGTTTCGGATTAGTAGTGTACAACTCGAAATTCGAATATTAGATCGAGCGGTTTTTGGCCGACATGACCTAAATGAGAATCGAAGATCTTGTTAAGAGTAGCTTAACGAGAAAAAGATGGGCGAAAACGGATGTCGGATGAAGAAGTTATGAGAATTTAACGGACCAATCCTGTCCCGGTCTGTTAATAATATAACTTTTAAAATAAAGTCAAAATTAGCCGACAGAGTCTAAACGAAAGTTGTAGAGTACGTTCCCACCTTCGCGTGGATGTAAATAACGTCGAAAACGGAGCTCGTATGAGGAAGATACGAATTTTTGAAGTTTAAAATTGAAATTACGAAGCTGATGATAGGAGTGCTGACGTGGCAGCGCCACATCCGTCCATCGTTGTTCTAGCCTCGCATCCGATGGTCGCCACGTCGCCCTCGCATACGCCCCGCGTCGGAGAGAATTACGCCCAACGCTCCGACCCTTGTGCGGTTCCGAAAAAAGCCACGATGACCCAGCAACGAAGCGACACGTGTCTACCTTATCCAAACTTACGCCCAACGTAAGACTTCGGTACGCCCAACGTAAGTCCGAAGCCTCGCCTATAAAAGGAGGCCGAGGGCAGCCACTTTTCTCACACCAAATCCTTCTAATTTCTCTCACTACCCCCCTAACCCCCTCCTAAGCCTAGGTAAACCCCCTAGCACCCTAAGGAATCCCCGAGGTTCCCGGTATCCCGAGAAAAAGTGTCTTTCGGTTTTGAAACGTTGCTCCAAATAAAGCCCGATTTTCTTTAAAATCTGTTGTAAGTGAGTTACGCTTACACAACTTTTAACATAGCTTTCAAATAATTATAGTAATGTTATTAGGTCCTTCAAATAATTATTTGGGCTATTATTATGAGTTATATTGAGTGTTATTTAACGCTTATATAATAATAATAATAATAATAATAGTCAGACAATTAATTTGACGCGGTTATCTTTAGACTAAACCCTAGTGGTATTGGTACTAGGTTTTATCGAAAGAAAATTGTTTTGAAAGTATCGAAGCGTTGTCCGAGTGCTGAGTCACCACCTTTCAGGTGAGTGCATAGTTACTTTCATCTTACACATAGATATGAAGTATTGTATATAAATTACATGCTATGTGTACATATTACCTGAGTACTTGTTGTCTATGCTGGATGAACGATTTTATACACGTTTTAAATGATTTAAATTGTATATGTATTTTATATCTACGAAAATGTTGGGGTAAGACATGGGTAGATGTAATAGATGAAATATAAGTTGAATGATGAGTTGAGAGGTGAAATAGGACGTGAGGTGAGGGTGAGAGGTGGATGATGTGAGAAGGCTTTTTCCCAAATGATGACCCCGTCATTTAGCAGAGTATGGATGACAACCACGGACTATTCTAGACAGTCTAGTGGAACACTAGCAGGCTCGCAACCTGTAGGTGTTGTGAACGATGTGTTCACCGATGTACTCTAAAAACCCATTGATATGTATAGCGAGTGGACTCTCAAAAATGATACTGTCAATAAAACCCTGGCAGATGCGCCTAAAGGACTATACCGGCAGAAGCGCCTAATAGAGAACCTCATAACCCCGACAGATGCGCTTAAAAGGACTATTGTCGCAGATGCGCCCCATAGAGAATGTCACAATTTTGATAGTTGTGCCTAAGTGACAGAACTAGCAGTTGTGCTTGACAGATGTGTCATTTACAATGATGGAATTCATACCTATTCCTTAGGATACTCCTTAGGAATGAATGAACAAGAAATAGCTGATTCTTAGGATAGATCCTTAAGAATAAAGAAGATAATGGGGATGAGTAATTGGCTTAACTGTTTGATGATTAAACATAATAATTATATTATTGTGGGTTGAAAACCCTATGTACTCACCAGGTTTCCCAACTTGACCCACATAGTTTGTTTATATCACAGGTGTCGATATGAAGTGACATTACACTGAGAGATTAAAGAGATGTAGATCACTAGTGTAAATAAATGTAAGTTCCATTTATGCTTATGTTCCTATATTGACAATGGCATCCCAAACGTTTTAAAAATGAATAAAATACGTTTCTTCGAAAATGTTTTGATAACGTATTTATCGTATTTTTCTGGGAACAAATTCCGCAACCTTTTTATGAAAAGAAGTACTTTGATTTTTATAAAGCATAAACAAAATCGGTCTTTTCTGGCCGTGAAAATGGGGATGTCACACTCTTACCACAAGAGCACTCAGGAATAGATAAAAAGTAAGCACTCTTCGTCAAACGATCTAAAACACCCAAATGGAATCAAAACCCTTTGTCGTTTTTGGTAACCTTGTGATGAAATTCATGGTGATATATTCATGTTTCCAAAATGGGATCCACAAAGGATGCAACTTGTCATGAGGGCACTGATGTTTCGCCTTGACCTTCCGACATGTCAAGCGACGCTCCACAAGCCAAACTATATATATCTCTTCATACATGGCTACAAGTAGTTATGTCCCAGACCGAGGAACATCTTCGTTGTGCTCGGATGAATGGAAAATTTTGAGTTGTGTGCCTCATCCATCAAAATATGTCGGACCCCACCCAAATAAGGCACCCAAATCCTGCTATGAAGAGTTAGCAGACCCCTGCTGTCAATATCAAAAGCTGAAACATGACTGACCACTCACTCACTTTTTTGATTCGCTTATCGAATGGCTTCCGCTTGTGTATCCCTGATCATCTCTAAGACTAGAGTCACCGCTATCATCCTCAAACAAACATCCCGAATTGGAGAACTGACCGCCCTGCGACTTAGAGCATCGGCCACCATGTTGGCCTTACCGAGGTGGTACAAGATCCCACAATAATAATCTTTTACCACGTCAAACCATCTCTACTGTCTCATATTATGGTTGGGCAGATCCATAAGATATCTCAAACTATTTTGGTCCGTGTAGATGGTACACCGAACCTTATACAAATAATGACGTCATATCTTCAGGGTGAAAACTACAACCCTTAGCTCAAGATCATTTGTGGTATAGTTTGCCTCGTGAGGCTACATGTGCCTTGAAGCGTAAGCGACGACATGCTCTCGATGCATCAGAACATAATTCTAAAACTTGGGCCAAAAGGGTAAATTTTGGAACAAATTTGAAATAAAATTTAAAATTTGGGCCAAAAGTGTAAATTTTAAACCAAATTTGTAATAAAATTTGAAATTTGGGCAAAAAATGTGATTTTTGAATTTTTGATGACCTGTTGACCGGGTCAAATGACTAAATTGAATATGATTACCGGTTTTTGAAACTTAATTGAATAAAAAAATATATAGAAACTAAATCGATTAATAGTCCAATACGTAATGACTTTATTATAGTTTTCCGATTGATCACAACCTTTAGTACTAAAATTATTTGTAATATATTTTGCTTTCCTAACTTTTTGCCTTTCTACTTTTATTCCTGTGCAACTGCAATTGTACTACCTAACTAAAATTAAGAAGGCATAACCAAAAAATACTATGTGATAATGCCCTCTCTCTATATACCTTAGAAGTTAAGCATTCAAGAATTACCATGTGTGAGGGCAATCGAGGGGGGAAGCGAAAATGAGAAGCTGCGCCGACATCGGAGAGGTGAAGCAGCGGCAGCGCCGTAGAGACATATAAAAGCGTCTTTGTTTTTCTTTTATAATTTATTACAAAATGATATAAGATTATACAAACAAACACACAAATTAAAATATTTATGACCAAATTCAGTTTCGTGAATGAGATTAGCTAGAAAATGGAAAGTCACATTGGAAACTGTGATCTCTCGTAATTCTATGGAGTGACTAGAATCCCATCCTTTTGTTTCCTTCTAATCTTGCTAAACACAGTCCCAAATCAAGCTTTTAGAAAGATGTCCAGCACAAGCAGCAGTTGGAACCAGAAACAACAGTCGCAAAAAAGAAGACATCAAGGCCTTTTAGACGTCGTTCTCTCTTGGTCTTTGTCGGATATACTCAACAAAGATCTCTACAAGTTTCAGGTTTCTCTTCTTCTTCTTCTGTTAATTTTTTCTTTCATCTGTTCATGAATATGTATATAAACATGGAGTTTCACAGGTGAAAGAACTTCCGTTGACGTTTTCATCCACAACTCACTACATGAATTCATTCAAATATCCGCTTCTTGAGGAAACACATGCAGATTTGCTCTCCGAAGTTGCCGGAATCTCTCAGGCACCATCAAGTTGTATTTCTTCTCTCCAAAGAATACCAACGGGAAACGACAGAGAGTTATTATATCGCATAAAGTTAACCGGGTCGGATTATGAGCCACAAGTTGGAGATCTTATTGCCCTGACAAAAGTTAAACCCAAATGCGTCGCGGATCTTGATCGACCAAACAGCCGTTTCCTCATCGCTTTTGTGTCATCATTGATCGATCAAAAACCGATGACAATACAAGTTTTGTCATCAGACATTATCGAATCCAATACAGTTGAGGCAAGACGATCAAAAGCTTTTGTTGTTTATCTGACGAACTTGACTACAAATATGCGTATTTGGAAAGCTCTTAATTGGGAGGGCAACATGAGTATCGTTCAAAGAACATTGTCGTCGAGCTGTGCTCCTGTAAGGATTTAACTTCCACACCCATATCAAAGTTGCCAATACCACGATTATAGTTATACATTATAAATAAGTTTTGTTAAAAGTATGTTTGTATACAGGTTGCTACAAATTGTAGTGAAAGTTGTCGAGCAGAAGGAAAGGGAGTTATTGACTTAGAATTAAGACCAGCATTTGATTCATTTCATCTTGATAGTTCACAAGAAGCAGCTGTGATAAGTTGTCTTGTTGCTAATAGATGTCGGCATCAAAACTCCATCAAATTAATTTGGGGTCCTCCAGGGACTGGAAAGACAAAGACGATGGCTTCATTATTGTTCCTTTTGTTAAGGTCAAAACGCAGAACACTTACTTGTGCTCCAACCAATATTGCAGTGGTAGGAGTTGCAAAGAGGGTATTGAGTTTAGTAAGTGATCATGATTTGGGATGCGATACTTATGGTTTAGGAGATATTGTTTTATTTGGTAATCAAGAACGAATGAAGATTAACGATGATGATAACCAAGAGCTTCTTGATGTGTTTCTTGACAACAGAATTGATGCTCTTTCAAACGGTTTATCTCTATGGAAATTTTATGTGACTGGTATGATTCAGTTTCTTGAAAATCCCATGAAAGAGTATCGCCGCTTGATTGTTTTTCCAAAACCGAGTATATTAATCAAGACTAAAAGCAAGCTAGAGTCACAAGGGAACAATGAAGAAAAGAAAATGACTTTTGAGGAGTTTGCCATGAACAGATTTAATGTTTTTGGAAAAAAGCTTATTTCTTGTATCAGAAGCTTGTATACCCATTTGCCTACCTCAGTGGTTTCGCTTGCTTACGCAAAGAAATTGTATCTATCCATTGATATCATTGAGATGGTTGGGGAGTCTGTGAACGAAATAGTAACTAGTAACAAAAGCTTAAAGGAAGCCTTCAATAAAAAAACAGTTTCAAGCTATTCGAAGCTAAGCTTTCATAAAGCTGAATGTCTGCTTGCACTAAAAGAGCTTCTTGATGCATCTTTCATTCCGAAACCTATGGACATGGATCAACTTAAAATTTTTTGCTTAGGTAGTGCTTGTTTGATCTTCTGTACAGCCTCAAGCTCTATCAAATTGTGTACAAATGCAATGAAGCCAATAGATTTGGTTTTAATTGATGAAGCTGCACAGCTTAAAGAATGTGAATCTGCTATTCCGTTGCAGCTTCGAGGTGTTCAAAATGCTGTGCTTGTTGGGGACGAAAGGCAGCTGCCATCGATGGTTCAAAGCAAGGTCATGACCAACAAGACTCCTTTTATTACTTTTGTTGCAATTAAGTTGCATATGACAGTCACAATAGTTGCAAAAAGTTCCCCACTTGGATTCTTTTTGGCTAATTTCATTTAGCAACACACATTATGTGACGAATTTATTTGATTCATGACAGATTTGTGAGGAGGCAAAATTTGGAAGGAGCTTATTCGAGAGACTGGTTCAACTTGGACATGGAAAACACCTTCTCAACATTCAGTACAGGATGGATCCTTCAATTAGCCAGTTTCCTAATGCAGAGTTTTACGGTGGGGCGATCTTGGATGGTCCAAATGTCACTAATAAGTGTCGCGAAAAGAATCTTTTGCGACATGGTATGTATGGATCATACTTGTTCATCGATGTGGATTCTGCAAATGAAGAATTTGACAATAACCACAGCACAAAAAATGTTGTGGAAGTCGCTGTGATAGCTGAGATTGTTGCGAATCTTTTCAAAGGTACGTATCATTGACATTTATATAGTCTTGTGCTTCTTTTTGGTGTTGTTATAAACACATTTTTCTGACAGAATCTGTTGCCAACAAACAACCGGTAACCATTGGCTGCATCTCACCTTACAAGGCTCAAGTCAATGCGATTCAAGCAAAACTTGGCAAGAAGTATAGTCAAAAGGAGAATGGTTCAACTTTTACTGTGAATGTAAGATCTGTTGATGGGTTTCAAGGTAGCGAAGAAGATGTAATCATTTTCTCAACAGTGAGATGTAACCAGAGAGGAAGTGTCGGGTTTCTTTCGAATCGTCAAAGGGCAAATGTAGCTTTAACCAGAGCCAGACATTGCTTGTGGATTGTGGGAAACAAAGAAACCATGATCAAGAGTGGTTCGGTATGGACTGCTTTAGTTTCAGATGCGGAAGACCGTGGGTGTGTTTATAGTGCTAGCGAAAACAAGAACCTCGCTCAAGCCATGGTGCAAGCCATGGTTGAGTTAGGCCAATTTGGTCTGTTGCTAAAAAAGGAATCACTACTGTTTAAAGAGGCAAAATGGAAGGTAGAGTATATAGAAGTTAACTTTTAACGTTAAACATCGTCTTTCTTTTTAAGGCCATGTTTGTTATACTGGGTTGAACATGACAGAACTCAATTTAACTCGACAAGACAAGTTTTCTAAGGCTATTTTGTATAATGATTGTTAGTGCCCCACATAAGATAGATAAAGTCTCAAGATGTCTCTTTTGGAGAGAGAATGTCGGAATCCACAAATCTAACTAATATTGTAGATGAGAACAATTATGTTTCTTACAAATTTTGCCTGTTTAGTACATGCCAGATGCAATACAAATTCCGTCTTTCTTGAAAAACATGGCTTCACTCTTATACAACTTAAATATGTTGGATTTATGGCAGGTGAATTTCGACAACACATTTTTGGAAAGAATGGAAAGGATTCAGAGCCTTTATATTCGTAAGCAAGTTGTATCACTTCTCGTTAAGCTTTCAGATGGTTGGCGCCAACACCGGAAATCCAATAGGAACAATTTTAATGACACACCAGGGATTTATGACATATTAGAGACATATAATCTCGATGGACGTTTGTATCTTGTTTGGAGCGTAGACATTGTTTATGAGAACTCACTTTGTGCTCAGGTTTTAAAGGTTTGGGACATTTTGCCATTGTCTCAGATACAACAATGTGCAAAAAGTTTGGAGCAAGTTTTTGGAAATTATACATTGGATATGATCAAACGATGTCAAACAAAATGTTCAGGAAGGTATGTGTAAAACGATTTGTTTCGAGTTATTCATGCTAAAATTTGTTTAACGGTGTTAAATTGATTGTAGAAATCAAGCTTTACCGATAACTTGGCATGAGGATTTGGGAAATGATCTAAGTCGGGATTTAGCAAGTCAATTCGACAAATTATGTTTTAGTGCTGTTAGTTTGTAGGGGCTTAAGGTCAAGGGATGGAAGTAAAAAGATGAACCAATGGTTGTTGATATGCATATGCTTTTGGAAGTGATGTTGAAACAAAATGTGGATAGTTTTGTTTATGTCATTTTTTTAGGAAAAAGAAAAGGAATTTTCTTCTCAACTTTACATCTATTGTGTATGTGAAATTTCATTTGATTTGCATCTGATTTTAAAGTACAATGAACTTGACCATTGGTTTCGAAAATCCATTTACATTTGTGAACTTTCGTTTATGTTCGCTCATTTACATTCGCTTATGTTTGCTCATTTATAGCCCTTTATGATTGTTTATTAATGAAACATGAACATGATTTTTCATTCGTTTAGTTAAAAAAAAATGAACATGAACACTGGTTTCGATCTTCCATTTACATTTGTGCACGTTTGTTTATGTTCGCTCATTTACATTCATTTATATTTGCTAGTCCGCCTGGCCATGCCTACAACAAACAGTTGGTCCGCACTTTGACTACAACATGCTGATGGTCTGCCCGGGTATCTTAGCCTACCATAGAAAGCATGATCGCCTTAATGAGGCCAAAACTTGAACATAGACACAAAGAAACTCCAACGAAGACTCCTTTTTCAATTACCAAATGTTGGATTATGTGTCTAAGCCAATAACTAAATTTGTATTATCTTGAATTAATAGCAGAGTCCTTTTAGGTTGTCGTCAAACCTAATAGTTGACTAGAATGCTTTTTGCAGAGAGAGACAAATTTATTAATTTATTATAATTAATAAATTCATTAGAAATCAAAATAAGTGATTTATTAATATATTATGAGAATAATACATTAATTAGAAATAGTATTATTTAATTAACAATTGATCAGAAATTATTTGGAATTAATTTGGGATTAATTGGATTAATTAAAAGTAGAAGGACAAAAGGTGACAATATTTAAAAGTTTAATATTGACCAACTATAGAACCTACGAAAAGAGGGACGATTCTAGAAGGTTTTTTAGAGGCATTCTTGGGCTATAAGGAAGCTTAGAATGTCTCAGGGAGGAAACAATGGGGTGTTGGTTATCAACAAATAACATGTCTTATATACAACCTTCCTAACACCTATATAAACCCTTAAGGGTTTAGAATTTCAAAAAACATCATTCTAAGAGTCTTAGATTCGAAATTCGAAATTCTCCTCCTCTCTCATCTTTAGCTTCCAATTGCTAGGGTTTGGGTGTGATCGATTATAGGCACGAGAATTTTGGTGTTTGCTTTCTAATGATCAATCTAGAAGTAGCCCTATCAAAAATAACCGAAACCCAAATTACCCGCACGATTTCTTTGGTTATCGGGTGAATTGGGTTTTGGGTAAGAATAATCGGGTAATTGGGTTACCCGTTAATAAAGCAGGTCGAGTATAGGGTATATATAGTCCACTTCCATCCCAAAATTATAGTCCATCTTTCCTTTTTGCTTTTTCCTAAAATAATAGTCCACTTCTAAAAATAAATAACATTTTTACCAAAATACTCCCTCATTTTTACTTAACCAACTAAGCATTTAATGGAACATTAAATGCAAAGTAAGGACAAAACTATCATTTTATTGTTTAAAGTTAGTGGTAATTAATGTTTTCTTAATTTGTGTGTTTTTGTCTATGCACAATAATTTTGGGAAGGAGGGAGTGTGTGTGTGTCTGTGTGTGTGTGTGTGTGTGTGTGTGTGTGTATATATATATATATATATATATATATATATAATCGCGTATACCAAAATTATTTTTAAAAATCCTTTTTTTCTTTCGTATAGACTATACTCTGTAGCAAGTATTTGATCACGCTTAAAGATAACAAAACATCAAAAACCTACATCAACAATTACCACCAATGTCTATAGCTATAAAAACAAAAAAGCCTCCTTTGCAACTCGTAAGGCACAAGCTGCAATTCTCATCCTGCGATAATCAATTTCAGGCTTGAGTCTTGAGAGAGTTTCTTCAACCTGCACAGTTGCGGATTCTCAGTTTCTCGGTAGGTTTCAGACTTTCATATTTCTTTTTGTATCTTTGTCATGTTTGTTATATATTTCATATTTTCATATCTATTACTTGATTTAAGTTGCCATATATTGATGCAAAATATAGATTCTTCTTTACCCATATAACATTTCATATTTTCATCCCATATAGTCTTGTTTGTTTATTGTTCAAAGTAACATTTTTCCTATTATCCTATATAGTCTTGGCTAGTTGTCATGTGCCAATAGGATTTGAGTGGTGGATTTTGTAACATCCACTTTGCTTGTGATTGTAAACTATGAGTGTCAGCCCTTTGTAAAATCTTTATTAGTGATCCAAGAATTACACTTGTCATTGTCTTAGTTATTTTAAGTTGATTATAAAAAATATCTTATTATTATGGCTATGATGGTATATATTTATGTTTTCGGGGGAGAAGGAACCAAAGGTTGTTGGTCCCTAAGGACTCTTTGGCACTTTTGTGTCATAGTTAATTGTGTTGATAAATGAAAATTAGACCTCTAGCAATCACAAGCAATCAAGTTCCGAAGTCACCTTATGTCCGAGATATGATGAAGTTTAGAAGCCAGATAAATTTCGAGATCTAGCTGTACCGAAGTAACAGTTCATATGACTTAAATTTTAAGATAGTTAATTGTTTGCACATGCATTTAATGTATTTTATCTTTACCTTGATGTAATAGTTCATAGGACTTAATCATGCATATCTTTTAGATGCCAGTTTGTCAAACACAATGTTTTTATGGTTTGTACTATGTTCCCCCTTCACTAATTAAGGAGTGAATGTTTCATCAATTGTAAGGTGAAAGAATTGAAGTATTACTCCAAGAATAGCATTTATTCTCTTCACATCACTTTCAACTTTCTTTCAAGTCAAAGTTCTTTCTTAACATTCTTCTTGTTCTTAAGTTACCTTTGCATTGATCATACTCATGTTTACTTTATTTATTTCTTAAATACTTTGTTAATTGATTATCTATTTTTGTGGCTTGACTGGTTTACCAAACTTGAATGGACCAATACATTAGAAGCAGACATTGATCTTAAACGTGTTAATTCCAGGTTTGAGTTTTTAAACCTTGTCTGTGCATAGATCTTGTACTTACAACTGGTATAAGAGCTTGAGTGGTTGTCCTTTGAATCCATAAGAAAAGATTATAATTGATCTGAGATTACATTGGTATCTCAATCATTTATGTGTCCAAGATAAAAATTATTCTAAATACCACTTCTTCTCTAATACTCTTATCTTCAATTGCTGCTCCTAACCTGTGACAGCCCGAAATTTCTCCCGTTATTTTTAACCAGTCTCCGCTAATAAAATTTGAATTTTATTGATTTTCCGTCAAAATTCTTGGGTTAGAAAATCAACTAATGTTATAGTTATAATGCTATACGAGTCGAAAAACCAAAAATCTCGCGAAAAAACCACACTTTCTCAAAAATCAACGTGTGTACGGCCAGGAGGACTTTACGGTCGTAAACCCGTGTACGGCCATAAACCCGTTTACGGTCGGTCCCAGGTGGACCTCACCACTGACCATACCCTCCAGCCTATAAATACAAGACCCCCACCCTCATTTGAACTTTCTTTGCTGAAAACACCCTCTTTCTCTCTCTAACTCTCTTGACGGTAAACACCTAAAGCCCCTTATTTCATCCAAAAAAAACACCAAAAATCATCATCTGGGGCCGTTTGGGAGCATCTGGAACACGTTTTCATTGAAATCAAGCACCCTTGTTCTTGAGTTTATGGCCATAAACCTTTCAAATCTTTAAAGGCCGTAAACCCTTCAAAGGACAGTTCACGGCCGTAAACCCTGTTCACGGCCGCAAACCCAGTTCTTGGCCGTAAACCCCCATTTACGGCTGTAAGTAACTCTTAAGTGGTGAAAAGCCTGTTCCCTCGATTCAACCAAGTACCAGTAACATTCCTTAACCAAAAACAAGTCTTTATCTAACACTTTATCTAACGAAATCGCTAATTTAGATACGTATATGTATTTATTGGTATTAGGATTTCGTTAAGTGCCTCGTGCGTCGACTTGAAGATCTTCCAGTTTAATCCTTTGCGCCCAAGAAACAGTGAGTTCATAGCCCTACGCTTTTATAGTTTTTAAAACGTTTTCAGGGGGATACAATCCAAACATAAAGGTTTTCACAAGTTAATAACTAATGCAATTTCAACGGTTTTACACCAAACATTTAGATACTCTATCCCTTTTGTAATATGCAGAACATAAGGGATGTTTTCTAAAACATAATTGCATAGTTTTCAGAACAGTACATGAACATAACATACCAGTCAAACTATAATAGGTATAGTTTGGGAAATTCATTATCAGTTTTACAAATTCAAACTACATTCAAGGTTGAACATATAAACTATGACATATTTAGTTTATCCATTATTACCTACAGATAATAAGAGTATCATACTAAATAATTATTTTGCATATAATTATTTATACTCTACACAGTATATAAATGATTTCAAACATGTGAACAACAAAACAACACGTAAAATAGTTAATACAGGATTGTGAGACGTCTCTTCATTGTACCCTTCGGGGTACTGGTAAATCCACTACATTTAGTATAGCCAGAGTCTCTAGGAGGGAGAGCGTGAAATTTGTGAATAGATCTATTCGGGACCGACAATCCCACACCTGAACTGTTAGCTACAGTTAGGCAGGCATGTCTGGGGTGACAAATTTTGTAACATACGATGCCTGAAGAAACGTCGCGGAGGTCACCAGTCACATTAGCATGGCTATACGAACTCACAATAGTATAACGAACCTTTGTTTATGGGATTGTCATTCTTCAATAGTTTTATTTTAAATTAATAAGACTACTTACACACTACACTGGAGGGTATTCCATGGATACAACATTTGGTTTTATTTTAAGTAATAAGACTACTTTACATACTGGTGGTAGCTAGGGTTTTCGAAACAGAATATACATACTGGTGGTAGTCAGGGTTTTCCAAACAAAACATACATACTGGTGGAAGCCAGGGTTTCCAAAAATAATATACATACTGGTGGTAGCCAGGGTTTTCCAAACAAGAACATACATACTGGTGGTGACCAGGGTATCGATACAAACGATGTTTTACATATAATGAAAATAAATCATTTATACAAATTTAGTGAGTAGTTTTCATTACAAAAACATTCTAATGAACTCACCAGCTTTATGTTGATTTGTTTTCAAAACTGTTTGTATTCTCAGGACAACAATAGACAGGTACTCTTGTCAGCTTTTGGAGA